ACCCTCACGCTGTTGGGAGGATCTGTCACTCGATTTTATCATCGGACTACCGCCATATCAGGGTCACACTACTATATTAGTTGTGGTGGATCGATTTTCAAAAGGAGTGCACTTTGGTATGTTGCCCCGCTCCTTTACTGCTGCCAAGGTCGCTGACCTCTTTACTCATATGGTTTGCAAATTACATGGCCTACCCCGTAGTCTAATTTCAGACCGTGATCCCATCTTTCTCAGTCAGTTTTGGAGGGAGCTCTTTCGTCTGAGTGGTACTAAATTGCGCATGTCCACCGCTTACCATCCACAAACAGACGGCCAAACTGAGGTCACAAATAAGATACTACAGCAATATTTGCGATGCTATATATATATATATATATAGGAGAGAGAGATGTTGGAATCCACTTGAAATTGCTTCAACTTTGCATGTTTTTCTCACTTTATGAATTCTAATATTCAGTTTTTTCTTGAAAGTTTTAAGTTTGAAATCCACATGCGTAGAACCGGACAAAATTAATTAAATTAAACTAAATTATTAATTAACTGAATTATATTAAATTAAAAAACAAAAATTATTTAAGATAAAACTGAATTAAATTATTTTCCAGTTGAAGTTGGGTTTACTGCACTAAACGGGGCTGGTCCTGATCGACGACGGGTGGCAATCAGTTTGTCAGAAGAAGAAGAGGGTGTGGATCGAACCTCAGCTGGGGAGCAAATGTGGTGTAGGCTCGTGAGGTTGGAGGAGAATGACAAGTTCAGCAAGTATAGGAGTGGAGGGAGGAATGGGTATGGGATGGGGGCGTTTGTTAAGAGCAGGTGTACGTTTGGCACGCGCTCTGTGGGAACTGGCTATCATGTTGCCTCAGGTTCCGGGCATGCCCGAAGCTAAGGTGGTAACTCCGAAGCTGTCCAAAGGGTTGGGAATGACAATGGAGGATTTGGCGGTGGATAAAATTAATAAGAAATTGAATGACAATTATTCCCTGCTCCTTCCTACTCCTTTCTCACGTGGCTACAGTTTAATAGAATAAAAAATAGTTTAATTTAATTTGTGTTATCTAATTTTTAATTTTGTATAATTTAATTAAACTATTTTTTAGTTTAATATAATTTTTAATAATTCAGTTTAATTCAATTTAATTTGTCTACCCCATGCGGACCTCGACACCCGTCCAGAATATATATAAAGCATTTTTAAATGAAGGAAAAAAGAAAAAACATTTTTCTTATATCTACTATTATTTAATGATATGCATACAAAACAATCAATAAAGGTTTATTGGTGGATTGATTTGGTTTAAGTTCAAGATAAAATAATATTCAAATGAATTTAATTTATTTTTTGAGGTCAACATATTTATTGTATTTTTAAGTCAACAGATTTAATTTAATAGTTTTTTAATCTAATTTGAACTTGGCTAAGATTGAATAGGTTTAATTTGAGTCATTGTGATAAATTAAAAAAATATATTTTAATTTTATAATTCTTTCATATATTATTTACTATATGAAATTTAAAAATTCATTCCATTATAAACTAAAATGGTTCATAAAGTTTAAACAAAAATTAAATCAATGTCAAGGATTAATGTTAAGAACAAATTACTTTTTCAATTTTTTTTTCTTTCTTTTTTTACAAATAAACAGCAAATTCGGGATGTGACTTTGTGAGGCACGAGAAAAGGTATAAAAAAGAAGAAGAAGAAGAAGAAGAAGAAGAAGGTTGAAGGCAAAAAAAAATGTCAACCTGAGAAATGCTTCATTTTTCAACATTTGTTACACACTCTTCTCTATCATTCTTTTTCTTACATATTATATTAATAATCACATTTATCAATTTCTTATTCTTTGTATCATAGTGTTAAAAAGCACCTAAACAAAGAGTAAACTACATTTCTTTATTTTTTCTCCTTTTCACAATTGAAATAAATAATATTGTATAAAATTTGTGTGATGTGAGGAAAAGAAGAAAAAATGAAAAGATAAAAAAATGCCTACTTGAGAGATGATAAAAGGAAAAAACAAGACTATTTTTTGCATTGATTGTGCACTTTTCTCAATTTCTCTATTCCATACTCATCATATTATTAATCTCACTAAAATCACTAGTCACCCTAATAATTAAGATCAGATAGATATATGAAGGGTTATATTTGATTTTTGTTACTGTGGTTGAAATCTTTCTTACCAATTAAAAAATTATTATGGATGGCACTTAGCATATTTTGTTATTCTTCCCTTATCTTATCTCTCAGAATCTATTCACTCCTTTTTCTTCCCCTACTTCTGTTCATGTTCAACAAGATCATTTTCCATTATATGAAGTCCTTTTACATGTACTTTTTAAACTGATCTTAATTTTGATAATTGAGGGCGGGGGAGAGGCCTTAGTCTTGGATGAAGGGATATTGAAGAAAAGGACTTAATTGGATGGTGACTGTGAACTGCCTTCAATAGCTGCATGCAGTACATAGTAGGGCTAGTCCTATGCCCTAGGGTGGTCCAAACTTGTATTTGCAATTGCAACATCACCAAGCATTCATCATTATTTCATTACTATTTGACAGTATCTGTTATAATATTCTCACAAGTTTAATACTTATTTTATGAACCTTTTGGAATTACACATTACAATAAAGAATTGCTTAAGTTGCATAAAGTAAAAAAAAAAAAATATATATATATATATATATATATATATATATAATGTTTAAAAATGCTCTCATTGGTAATAAATGTTTTACTCTTAATAATATAAGATTGCTGTAATTTGGTATTAGTCCATGTATATTATGTGGACGTGCATGTGAGTGTTTCAGAAGACGAGTTATATGTAGGGTCCCCAACCTCAAACAGTCAAACCTTACCCCACTCTAATATTCTGTTATCAGATATTCAGATTCTACTGTACCTTATAAATTATCACATAATCACTTGTGCTAATTTTCGTTCATTCCATTTTCCTTTTCCTCTCTAAGTCATGCAATGTTAAATCATTTCACCATCTAGCATCTCTAGATTTATTTAACAAATTTATTTTGGATGTTTATAAACAAGAAATGTTTATTAAATATTTACATTCTTTGATTGTGCAACTTACTATAGTATATACTCTCAGTCTGGCTACAATTAGTTAAAAAAGAGTTGAAAACTTATATTTATTGAAAAATGAAATGCTGGGATGTTTGTCCTTCCTTTCTTTCATTCTTTAATGTGTAATTAACTCTACTCAGTCACAGAATAGTAAAGGAAATTATAATAATTTATGACTAGTTGGCCTTTCATAACAGAAAAGCACATATATGCAGCACTATAGGCTGAACTTCTATGCTATAAACCTAATCATTGCTCTTACTTCTAAGGAATCTAAGCTATAAACACATTTTAACTTGGTTTTAGATCCTTCATCCTTTACTGCTCTTGGCATTTAATGTTTCCTGAGACAAAGAGCTGCTACCAATCTTTCTTCTCAACAGGGAAATTTATTACTCTATTATTGATCCTTTTTTCTTGCATGTCATAGTTACTACGACCTTGTGATCAAGCCTATATTACTTTGATAGGTCATGAGTTTTTCCTCTTATGCTCCTTGAAACTATTTACATTTTTCTGCCTTGATGCTTAGAATGGCTATAAGTTTTTCATCATGGAAGTGGCAATGTTTTCTTTGTTTTGTGTTTCTCATTTTGTCTTGTCATTGTAAGGGCCAAGACTCTTCATTGTCACCAATGAAGAACAAAGAGAAGGAAGCCATCTACTCTGTTATTCAAGGGTTTGTTGGACAATGGTGGAATGGTTCATATCTTTATCCAGATCCTTGTGGGATGACTCCTATAGAGGTTTGAAATCTTGAACTTTTAAAGTGAAAGGATGAATCAGATAATGTTCATACCATTGTTTTCTTCCTTTTTCTGTCTTAATGGAACAGTACTATCTTAAGTTTAGAATATTACAAAGAAAACAAGGTTGTGTTTCACTATAATGATTGCATTTCTTATAATTTCTATTCAGTCTCTGAAAAATTTAAACTTCTATATTTTGGATAATATACAGGGAGTTTCATGTGAGCTATATGATGATGGCTTCTGGCATGTAACTGCTGTAAACTTTGCACCAATTTTTGACAACTGTCTCATGTGCAACCACGATGCTCAATTCCCTCAGCAACTATTCAAACTCAAGCACCTAAAAGTACTCTCACTGTCTGGTTGCTTCCTTTCTCCAATCCAAAATCCTGTTAAACTCCCAATTTCAAACTGGGAGAAGTTCTCACACAGTTTGGAATCTTTGACACTTAGATCAAACCCTGGTCTTATTGGGACCATTCCATCAGGAATTGGAAGCCTTAGGAGGCTTCAATCTTTGGTACTTCTAGAAAATGGTCTAACAGGTGAACTACCACTAAGGATTGGTAATTTGGTCAAATTGAGGCAACTAGTCCTTGCAGGAAATTATCTGGTGGGTGAGGTTCCAGCCAACTATGGAAGGCTTTCTAAGCTTTTAATATTTGATGCAAGCAGGAATAATCTTTCAGGAGTTTTGCCATCAACACTAGGACTTTTGGATTCACTTCTAAAGCTTGATTTGAGTAGCAACATGCTTGAGGGAGAGTTGCCAAGGGAGCTTGGAAGGATAAAGAATCTTACCTTACTTGATATCAGTCATAACAAACTTAGAGGTGGTTTGGCCAGGACACTCAAAGAACTTGTTTCCTTAAAGCATTTGGTTCTTTCCAACAACCCTATAGGGGGTGATCTCTTAGGAGTTACGTGGCAAAATTTCCAAAGCATAGAAGCATTGGACCTTTGTAACACAAGTTTGGAAGGGAGTGTGCCAGAGTCCATGTCAAAAATGAAAAGGCTCAGATTTTTGGACATTAGCAACAATAATCTCTCTGGAGGTCTCTCTAGAAGTTTGGAAAAACTGCCATGTCTTAGAGCTCTTCATGTAAATGGAAATAACTTGAGAGGTAGACTTGAGTTCTCAGAGAGGTTTTACATGAAAATGGGAATGCGTTTTGCAGCTTGGAATAATGCAAATCTATGTTACATTGCCAAACCAAGGCACCGAAGGCCTTATGGAATAAAGCCTTGTGTTCAGAATATTACTATATCTGAAGGGGTTTCAACAGTTGAAATAAGTGAGGGGAATTACAAGGATTCCTTTGTAGTGGCCTCTTTGGGAGGTTCAGGCTGTGCCTTTTATGGACTTTGGTGGGTTTTCACTGTAAATGGAGTTCTTAATGTTTTCCTGTGGAATATGTTGTTTTAGTTCATTTTAGAGAAATCCGATATCACCACATCACATGAATGTATTGCCTAGAGAAGTAGCCATAGTTAACACTTGGATTCTGACTTTGTCATCTGTTGCTAAACAAATTTATGACTTCTGAATTCCATTACATGCATTATGATGGCACAAAAAAATGTACATGCATGTTTCTCTAATCACCATCGGAAGATGCACGTGTCCAAAAGGCGAAGAAAACATGAATTTTGTAAATAGAGGTGATCGATAAGAACGATAAAAAATTGACTATTGTAACATCCATTCATGCAATTGCAAATTAATTATTCTGGAATCTGGCTTCTTGAGTCCCAAACGACTGAAAATGACAGAAAAGCGTCTCTTAGAAAAAAAAAACTAAGCAAAGAACAAAATACAAGTATATCAACTACACTTTCAACTGGAATATGTCTAATAAATAGCACACTCTCACTTCAAAGTCTTCTTACGTATATTTGATTTAACATTAAACGTGCATTCTCCAAAAGTTTCTTCCCTCATATGTAAATAGGTTTCCTTTTATTTTTTAAACTATTTGTTCAAAGTTGAATATGTAGAGTCAAATCAATTGAATAGCTTAACGGCTGTTAACAGCACATGCACAATTTGTAAGAGGCTTCTAGAATTAATTTAGAGAAAACAGAAAAAATCTCAAATATCTTAATTCTGAATCAGCTGATTTCACTCAACAACCTCATCTATAAAAAACAGTTTAGATTTAAGACCAAGTCAAAGACCACTGTTACCCTCAGTCACCCACGACCCCCAAAACGTGCTCCTCAATCCTCTCCCTCTTCCTAGTTAACAAACTTCACTTTCATTTTCAACTTCAATTCAGGTCCCTTTTTAAGTCCAACGTTAACATTAAACAACCCCATTTCACAAAGCACATTACACACTACTCTAGAGCATCTAGAAATCCTAATATGACTATTCTCTTCAAAGTTTTCCTTTGCTTGATCCTAATTTTCTGTTGTAGCTCCCTTGTCAATTGCACTGAGTTTGAAGTTGGAGGCCACGATGGTTGGATTGTCCCAAAATCAAAGGACGATGATCAAATGTACAATCAATGGGCATCTAATAACAGATTCAAAGTTAATGACACTCTTCGTAAGTACCACTTTCTATTTAGTACCTACCCTTATATAACATATAACCATTTTGTTTTCAAAAGATAAGAATTTAAATAGAAAAAGTTTGAAAAAATATTCAGTCTGATTAGATACTAATTTAAAAGTATTTTTTAAAGTCCCTTTATTAAAAAAAATATTCTTTATTTTTATTAGAAGAAGTTTTGAAAAGTGTTTCTAATTTGTATCTAAACAGACTCATAGCATGATAAGAGAAAAAAAAAAAGAAGAAAAAAATAAGAAGTATTAATGAGATACTTAAAAATATGGAAAGTCCAAAATCATCATCTTTTATTCTTTGATACATTTAAATAGAGTAATGATATATGCCATTTATAATGAATATACTTAATTAAAGGTCTATTTGAATAAATTTTCTCAGAAATATGAGAAAGAAAATAAGAACAAAAGATGAAATAAATGTTTTTATAAATTAAAATTAACTTATATATAAATTGTCATAAAAATTCTCTTAAAAGTTTTGATAAAATCTTGTTTTTAACTTATTTTTCAATAAGAAATTTATTTTAATTTTTGTTTTTGTTTTTTCTCCTAAAATTACTTCAAGAGAAATTTATTCAAACAGATCTTAATATTCTTTATTTATATTTATATATTTTTTTAATCTTTTTCTTCTTATTACATCATATGACCTGTTATATGTACACTTTTATCATTTTTCAGGTGTTTAGTAACACATAGGGTTTCATGCATTATTTTCCATTTAAACATATTGAAAGAAGCACATAACATTTTCTTTTTAAAACTTATGGGATTGTTATAGTGTTCAAGTACAAGAAAGACTCGGTTATGGAGGTGATCGAAGAAGAGTATGAAAAATGTAAATCCTCTCATCCCCTCTTTTTCTCCAACAATGGTGACACTGTGTTCAAGTTTAACCAAGCAGGGTTGTTCTTCTTCATTAGTGGAGTTAGTGGTCACTGTGACAGAGGGCAGAAGATGATCATAAAAGTGTTGGATATAGAGGCAACACCTCCACCCCAATCTGCCAACGACACTGCACAAAAACCACATAAAAGTGGAGCTGCTGAAATGACTCCTATGAGAACAATAACAACATTGGCAATTTTTGTTTTGTCAACTTTATGCTTCATTCTTGTGTGAGGTTTATGAAATTATGAGTGTCCTAGGTGTTATGTTGTTGGAGTTTTAATTTTTAAGTAGTAGTTTATTCGTTGTTTTTGCCATGTCTCAGGGTTGGACTTCATTATAGTATATGTTATCTAATTATATTGTTTCCTTCTTGATTTGGTATTGGTTTTTCCTGAGTCAATGTGATTTACATTTTTCATAGGATGCTTATTCTGATTTATTTTTTTTAATTATTATTGAAAATGATGTTTCTTTCTCATAATGAATAGATGATATTATGAACTGACAAATTTTGCATAGATGGTATTTTTTTATGAAGGCATTTTGTGACCTGACGCGAGAATAATTTGCGCTTTGCATAATAATATCTTTAATGTGAAGCACTTAAATCCAAATTATGCAAGTGATCGAAAAACTGAGAGATGCCTATTTATAATTTAATATTTATCTGCTTGTACCTTTATTGCTTATCTCTTTGAACACTCGTCTCAGTACATGCTACTTTCATGAAATTTCTTCAAGTATTTTCCATTGATCACTTTACTTGTATTTCTCGAATTTATCTCTTTGATCAAATATGCATTGTTCGCGTAGAGTCTTTCAATGATGAACGACCCTTCCTAATTAAAGGTCCATTTACCCCTATCTCGAGATTTTTGGTTCATTGGGAGGATGACTTTTAAGACTAAGTCTCCACTCGAAAATTGTTTGCTCCTGACCTTTTTGTAATAAACTTGATAGACTATGGCCAAGGCCAAGGAATCCAAGAGGTGATACATTGAAGGAACCAAGAGGAATGGGATGATGGACCATGGGCCAAGGGCCCAATCTCTAGAGCTACGGCCACCTTGAAGACCAGTGGACTCCTTGAAGACCAGTGGGCTTTCCAAGCCCAAGGTATTCTTCAATTTGGACCACTCTATCATGAAGAGAAGGCATAGTTCTAGTTGTAAATATCTTGTACATAGTTCTCTTGTATAGGCTTATTTTTGTCTTTGTATTTGTGAGGCACTTTAGTTTCTTTTATTAGTCATTGTATATTGATTCTAGGGTGGGTTACTTGGAGAGTTTGACTCCATTTAACCTCCTTTGTTGATACACTCATTTTCTATTTTTTCATTTTCAAGAAGCCAAAAGATACCAAATCCTCCCACCTTGCCTAGTCTCCTTTCTTTGACCGAATTGCTTCTCTAACCTTCAAGGAGATGAGAAGCTTGTGCTACAAGCTTCTCCTTAGCTTGCTTCCCAAGCAAGCTAAGTGAGAAGCTTGCTCCACAAGTTTCTAAACTCGCCTAGAAGGTCAACTAACCTTACCATGGTTCCTAGTGAACCATGGTTAAGGTTAGCTTGCTCTTTAAGCTACCTACCTCTATATATTTGTAATTTCTACTCTTGTAATCACTTTTGACATTTATGAGACTTAGAATTCAGAAATTCTCTCTCATTTCAAGAGTCCAATTTCGTGGAGAATCTCCTTCTCCTAGAAGCTTCACAAAGGAACTTCTCCTTTGTGCTTGGTTCCTCAAGTTTCTCTCCTTCAAGAGAAACTGAACCACCTTGGGAAGCATCTTCAAGCTTTTGAAGCTTGAACTCATCCAAATC